TATTGTTTATTCTGTTCACTGCTGGGACCTCGTTCATGGCACATAGTAAGTGCTCAATAAATATCTGCAAAAAGGGGCCAAGGAAGCTACAGGGGAGGAGACTAAAGAGAGAGAGAGAGCAGACAGTCACTGCAGCATCTTTCTACAACTTCTACGAATACAGGAAAGGAGAGAGCATCAGCTTGTAGCACATGGAGGGTCACCGCTCTCAGACAACCCAGAGTTAGTTTAGTTCTAAGGCCTCCTGGGCTGAGCAAAGCCTTCAGGGCATCCAGACATAGGTCACACTCACCCTACCCTACCCTAGAGGGGCTCCTGGTTGAGTGAGGTGAGGGGAGGCCGACTCAGACCCATACCGACCCCTTGGCAAGGAAACGGCTCCCATAAACGTGTAGAGTTCACTTCCCCCCATTTCAGAAAATTCAGAGCTGTCCACGTGTGTTCAGAGCAGCATTATTCACAATAGCTAAAAAGTGGAAACGATCCAAATTTCCACCAACTGGACGATAGATAAATAAAATGGGGTCTGTCCATGCAGTGGAGTATTATTCAGCCACAAACAGGAACAAAATCCTGATACCTCTACAACATGGATGAACCTCAAAACGTTAGCGAAGTGCAAGAAGTCAATTACCAAAGACTACGTGGTGTGTGATTCCACTTATATGTAATATAAGGCAAATCCAGAGATTGTAAGTAGCTGGTCACTTAGGCCTGGGGGTGTGGGGGGAAGGGAGAAATGGGAGTGATAACCAAGGGGTACAGGGTTTCTTTTTGGGATACTGAAAGTGTTCTAGAATTGATCGCCAAGATGGATGGATAACTCTATGACTATACTAGAAACCACTGAATTATACGTTTCAAATAGGTTTATTATATGGCATGTTAAAGTTAAACTTAAATTTGTAAGCTGTTGAAGAAAAAGGGAAAAAAAATTGAGGGCCAGGGAAGGAAAGACCTGCAAATCTAGGCCTTTGCTAAGTCTCCTCCCTTGTGGCACCTTCACAACCTGTCTTTAACTGCTTCCACCTGGCCTGATTTAGCATGGCACTACCCAGTTAAAAATAAAGAAAAAGAAGACTACATTTCCCAACCTCCCTTGCAGCTAGATGTGGCCACGTGATAGAGTTCCAGCCAATGGGACAGGAGAGGTAGGATGTGGGCCACTCCCAGATCTGGCACTTAATTTTTTTTTTTCATTTTTTTTTTTCAACGTTTATTTATTTTTAGGACAGAGAGAGACAGAGCAGGAACGGGGGAGGGGCAGAGAGAGAGGGAGACACAGAATCGGAAACAGGCTCCAGGCTCTGAGCCATCAGCCCAGAGCCTGACGCGGGGCTCGAACTCCCGGACCGCGAGATCGTGACCTGGCTGAAGTTGGACACTTAACCGACTGCGCCACCCAGATCTGGCACTTAAAAGGAAGGTGTAATGATTCACTCCTTGGTCCTTGAGTCCTTTCCTACTGGCAGGACCTCAGCTTTTGGGGCTGCTGGGCTGCCTTTGACCTGGGGGAAGGCAGAGCGACAAGAGTAAAGGAAACTGGGACCCTGGACAACCTTGTGAAGAGCCTCTGATTTTCCAAGAGATTCCCACCTTCAGCAGGGCTTTGACGAAAGAGAATTCTCTCTTCTTTAACCGTGTGTATGCTTAGTCTCTGTTAAAACGGCTTCCCCTGCCCTATTCCTAAAAAGACATGTGACCTCAGGCAAATCACATCGACTCTTGGTGTCTCGGTTTCCTCATCTTTAAAATGAGGAAAATTCTATAGGACCTACCTCTCAGGATTTGTGTAAAGATAAAACAAACCAATGTGTAAAATATTTAAAACGATGGCCTGGCACCTGGTAAGCACTCAATTAAAAGGCGGCTGTTATATTTACTGTGTGTGTGTGTGTGTGTGTGTGTGTGTGTGTGTGTACGTGTGTATTTTGTTGCTGTTACTGTCACCACAAACCAGACATCATTCTAGGCAATGGAGCTTATCTTTGGTGCTTTACTATAGGTGAGTACTCTCCTATATGTTTTATCTGTCATTAATCTATTTTATAAGTGAAGACACTACAGCATAAAGAGATGATGCCTCTTTCCTGGAGTCACACAACGAGTCACAGGGAAAACCACAACCTCTGGGCCTCCAGGACAGACACTGGTCCCCCATGTTCCTCTGCCCTCAGAACCTACTTCCTTTTTTTAAGATTTTATTTTTAGGGACTCCTGGGTGGCTAGGTCAGTTAAACGTCTGACTTTGGCTCAGGTCACGATCTCACGGCTCATCAGGCTCCCTGCTGTCAGCATAGAGCCCGCTTTGGATCTTCTGTCTCCCTCTTCTCTGCCCCTCCCCCACTAGCACGCGTTCTCTCTCTCTCTCTCTCTCTCAAAACTAAACATTTAAGGGGCGCCTGGGTTGCTCAGTTAAGCGTCTGACTTGGACTCAGGTCATGATCTCACGGTTCATGAGTTCGAGCCCCGCATCGGGCTCTGTGCTGATGGCTCAGAGCCTGGAGCCTGCTTCGGATTCTGTGTCTCCCTCTCTATCCCCTCTCCGACTAGTGCTCTGTCTCTGTCTCTCAAAAATAAATAAAGGTTAAAAAAAAAAATTAAACATTTAAAAAATAAAAACGAGGGGCGCCTGGGTGGCGCAGTCGGTTAAGTGTCCGACTTTAGCCAGGTCACGATCTCGCGGTCCGTGAGTTCGAGCCCCGCGTCAGGCTCTGGGCTGATGGCTCAGAGCCTGGAGCCTGGTTCCGATTCTGTATCTCCCTCTCTCTCTGCCCCTCCCCCGTTCCTGCTCTGTCTCTCTCTGTCCCAAAAATAAATAAACGTTGAAAAAAAAAATTAAAAAAAAATAAAAACGAATAAGGATTTTATTCTTAAATGATCTCTACACGCAATGTAGAGGGCTTGAATTTACAACGTCAAAATCAAGAGTCACACGCTCCACCCACTGAGCCAGCCAGGGGCCCCATAACATTTCTGTCCTAAGACAAATCAGTGCAGCATTGAAGAACAGGCCTGAGGCTTCACTGGCCACATCCCAACTCGGGTGGGACCCCACACCCCAGCCATGTTATGTGCTCCTGGTGCCTCAGTCTCCTCATCTGTACATGAGGGCAGTAACGGTATCTACTTTGTAGCACTGCTACAAAAATTAAACAAGTGAATTCATCGTGTGCAGAGCAGTCATCCAGTCAGGGGCCACGTGACTGACACATATTGCCATTATTTCAATTATTGTCACTGTCTCACCGATACCACCCGGAGCCCTCTGGACAGCGCTCACCCACGCCTCCTTCTGATGCCCCGGATTCTCTTCCTCTTGCCTCCCCACCCGCCCTGTGTGGCTGCCTAGGGACTCACCGTCCTCGCTGGGTGCTCCCGGGGATGACTCGGAGTCCGAGGAGCTGCCTGGTGGACCCCCACCCGCCGAGGCATTTCCTGCCGCCTCCTTCAGCCACTTCTTCCTCTTCTTGGGGGGTGGCTCGGCCTTCACCTTGGTGGGCCGGGCCTTGGGCAGCCGGGAGGTGGCGGGCTGGCCCGCGGTGAGGCTCCGCTCAGGCCGTGTCTGCCGCCCGCCCGCGCTCCGCTCGCCCCGTAGCGGCCGCTCCCCACGCGTCACCCGCTCCTTCTCCTTCTCCTTCTCCTTCTCTTTCTCCTTCTCCTTCTCCTTCTCGACAGGCCGAGGTGGGGATGGCT